TCTTTTCTGGATATAGTGAACTCAGTTGTGCACTTTTCATTTAGGATTTCTCATTCTGTTGCAGTTGAATATTGGTAGGGGCTGTAGTCCTCTGAAGGCTCAGCGGTGCTAGGTATCCAAGACTGCTCACTCACACCATTGAAACTCCTTACTTATGGCCCCAGCTGCCAAGAACATGCATTCCAAAATGCAGGAATCAGAAGCAGCCAGATTAGTTAAAGGCTGAGAACTGGCCTAGCTCACTGCTGCCATGTCTGTTGGTCAGAGCATTCTCAGGGCCTGCCCAGATTCAAAACTGTGGAGAAATAGACTCCATGTCATGCTGGAAGAGTATCAAAGTGACATTATTGCAAAAGACCACTTGGCATGGGAGATATTGTAGTTGTCTTTGGAAAATGCAATCTGTGAAGCTCTTGATTAAAAAAAACATGTACAATGTCTTAAAAAACTGCATTTGTATATTCTTGCATAGATACTGTATGTGTGCATATGTGGCATAGATATTGTATATGTGTATTGTGCATTTATGTATATGTGTGTATATGTACATGTATATGCATTAATATTCACATAGATAATACATATATGCCATGTTAGTTTGTTGGGCTGCTATAACAAAATTTTCTAAGTTGAGCAGTCTATAAGCAACAGAAGTTTATTTATCACATTTCTGGAGGCCTAGAAGTCCAGGATCAAGGAATTGGCAGATTCAGTGTCTGGTGGGGGTCCGCTTCCTCATAGTTTGCACCTTCTTGCTATGGCTTCACGTGGGAGAGGGGATGAAAAAACCTTCCCTTTGGGCCTATTTTATTTTTTAAGGTAATAAATACAAATATTTAATTAAATATTAATAGGAAATTTGTGTGTATACATATATATGTATAAAATAATTACATATATATGTATATATGTATAAAATCATTTTAACTTTTCTTGTAGATCCGGGGGTACATGTGTAGGTTTGTTACATAGGTATATTGCATGATTCTGACATTTGGGATACGAATAATCCCCTCGCACAGGTAGTGAATATAGTACCTAACAGGTAATTTTTTCAACCCTTGTACTTCACCCTCTCCCCACCTCTAATAGTCCCCAGTGTCTGTTGCTGTTTTCTTTATGTTCATGAGTGCCCAGTGTTTAGCTCCCACTTGTAAATGAGAACATTCGGTGTTTGTTTTTCTGTTTCTGCATTAATTTTCTTAGGATAATGCCTTTGGGCCTATTTTATAAGGGCACTAATCCCATTCATGAGGGCTTGGCCTTTATGACCTAATCATCTCCCAAATAGTTTCACCTCCTAATACCATTTCCTTGAGGGTTGGGATTTCAACGTATGAATTTGTTGAGGGGGAAGCACAGACATTTGGACCATAGCACATATGTACGTGAATACACATGATGCCTCAGTATCAGTGTACTTCATTAGACTTGGCTAGAAAAAAAAACCACACACACACACCCCACATTACTTTTAATTAGTTTTCACAAATCTCAAAACTACCTAGCAATGAAACTAACTTTCCGGTCAATTCGATTTACCACTCCATAAGAGACTGTTTTATATTGTTTCCTCTATTCTCAAATCTCAAATACCCCTTCCCACTCTATTCACTCCCAGCTTATGATGTTGCTTTTTATTTCTCTGGGAATAAGGCAGTCAGAGAAAAATTTTAGTTCTCTTATTACCAGATCTACCAGCTACCTGTTTCACTACCCATATTCTGTATCTTTCCGCTCTGTGAGGAAATAGGTGACACAGAGTATCAAGCCTCTTACCTAAATCAAACCCTCCCCTTTTTCCCCCAGGATCCATCTCTTTATGTCTACTCAAGGATTTAACAGCTGCGTCATCACATTTTCTCTCTCTACTAGATTACTCCCTTCAAAATTTAGTTTGAAATTTTGTCAAATCTTTAAAAAACCCTTCCTTAACCACACAGTCACATTCTGTTACCTCATTTCTCTGCTTTTAGTTACTGCAGATTCTTCAAAAGAGTTGTCTGTGCTCTTTCTCCACTTCTTCCTCTCACCATCTCACTCAAACTCACTCCAACAATTTCATTGAAACTGTTCCTGTAGAGGTCAGTGACAGCCACCACAATGCCAAATCCCCTGGCCAATTCTAAGTTCATATGTATTTAACCGCCCGCCAATGCACTTGACAAAGTCCTCCTTAAAATCCAATTTTCATTTGGCTTTCATGACACATACTCTCCTGCTTTTCCTCTCACCTCACTGCTTACTCCTTCTTGGTTTCCTCTGCTAAATACTTCTCACTTTCCTAACCTCTGAATGTTGGAAATCAGTGTCGGACTTAGCATGTCCAAAATTAAACTTAGTTTCCTTCTTCCAGACATGCTTTCCAGGCCACAAAACAAGAGTGATACTTCATTAGACTCGGCTGGAAAAAAAACCACACACACACACCCACCCACCCCACATTACTTTTAATTAGTTTTCGCAAATGATACTGTTCATAACCCACATCTAGTCTGTCAGCAAATTCTGACACCTCTACCTACAAAACATGTCAAAACTCCAAGCCCTTCTTAACATCAGCATTCTTACCTTCATCCAAGCAGCTGTTATGCTGTAAATTGTTGCACTAAATAGCCTCCTGACTAGAATCCCTGCCTTCCTCTTTGCCTTTTTATGGTTTATCTTCAATAGAGCACTCAAGAGTGATGCTTTCAAGACTTACACATCACTCTTCTTCTCCAAATCTCCAGTGACTTCCCATCTTGCTTAGAATAAAAGCCAAAGCCCTAAAGGTGGTTTACAAAATCTCCATTTAACCTGGTCCATGCGCCTCTCTGTGTCATCGTTCTTCCCTTTGTTCACTTCGCTCAAGACACACTTACCCTGTTCTTCCTGAGCATGCCACGTTGACTTCCACCTCAAGGCCTTTACACTTATTTCTTATGCCTGAAAAACGTCCCCAGTTTCCTTAAATGTTGCCACCTTACTTCATTCAGTTGTATTCTCAAAATTCAGCTCCCAAAAAGTCTTTCCCTGACAACTCCACCTAAAGCAGTACCTTCCCCAATTCCCCAACCAGCCTACCCTTGGCCACTCTGATTTTTTTTATGATTTATTACCATCATTAATGACTTGCCTATTGCCTGCTCTCTAGAACGAAAGTGCCATGAGAGCAGGGACTTTTGATTGCAACAAGGTTTTAGAACTCAGCAGGTCCGCACAAGCATCTGTTAATTGGATGAATGAATGAATGCTTGTGGATGTGTACATGCAATGCACTATCATATAGGCTTTGATGGGAAAAAATGATTCAAACTTTCTGTTTTATACTTAAACAGGTGACTTTGTTTTATCAATAAGAAATGTTTGTGTTGGAAACAAATATCACATTGCCTTTATTGCTTAATCTTCAAGATTCCAGTTTTCCAGATGATATAGTTTGCTTGGGCTTTGCTGATTTTTGAGCTGGCAGGAATTTGTGAGTTCTCACCTTTTGCCAGCATTGTGTACCATCAGGATGCTTAACTTTTCTTCATCGGTTAAAGAAAGGAGAAGTTAGAGTGTATGATTCCTAACATCTTCTAGTTTAAAATAATTTCTCTTTAAGATGGATCTTTAAAAGTCTAATGGGGCCGGGCATGGTGGCTCATGCCTCTAATCCCAGCATTTTAGGGGGCTGAGGCAGGAGGATTACTTAGGCCTGAGAGTTTGAGATCAGCCTGGGCAACTTATCAATACCCTATCTCAAAAAAAAAAAAAAAAAAAAAACCAACCAAACAAACAAACAGAAAACATTAGCCAGGCCTGTAATCCCAGCCATTCAGGAGACTGAATTGGGATATTGCTCAAGCCCAGGAGATGGAGACTGCAGTGAGCTATGATTATATTACTGCACTCCAGCCTGGGAGACAGAGTGAGATCCTCTCTCTTAATAGAAAAAAGTCACATTAGATGATTTCTAAGTAGTGTGATATTCTAAATGCTTTCATTATAAGGTCACTGCCACCTCAAAACACTGGCTGATTCTACTGTTTTGTGATTTGCTTTGTAGCTAATTTTATTTATAGCTTCTTTGACTTGAGCTTATTTTGGCAAACATCTTTTTTTAGGGTAAATCTCATACAGATATTTTACTAACATCTTAATCTGCCTTCAGAAGCGTTATTTATAGATCGGTTACATCCCAAGAATTTTAATTATACGGAAACCAAAAGATTCTAAAATCAAGATTTCACGTATCAGCAAATAGGACTTGAGTTTTTAAATTCATACGTTATTTTTAAGTACATCTTTTTTCTGAGCATCTGTTCTCATGACACTTACATTTTTCTCCTTTTAAGGTTAAAACCACTATAATGTCCATAATTAAGTTTGTTAAGATGTTTCCATTTAACTCTTATACAAAGGTGACAATTTTTATTAAAGGGAAAAGACTGGAAATCTGTTACACCAAAGGGAGTCGGGGAACGACACACTGTTTAGAAAAGCTAATTAGAAAATTAGATGAGGCCTAGAAATCAGGAGTGAATTTCACTCCAGGGACTGTGGCTTTATATTGAAACTTCAGTTGCTTCAAAATAGGGCAAATGATTCTTCCTCTCCCAACTTGGATATCCCTCCTGGAGAAACCAGAGTTATTACTGGATGGTTGAAATTTTTGCTTTTATGTGAACTGCAATTTCTATGAGGGAAAACAGCTCTGGGCTCCTGTGTAACATTCTGTTCTAAGTTTAGTAACTTTGATTTCCTAAAGAAGTGAATAATCTAGGATGTGGTAGAGATAAATGCTACTTTTGCGTGATCCAGATCAATTATGTTACTTTCTTAGATGTCACTATGTAGAGATTTTTGGATAGAAGGAGGTAATGACTTTCAGACTTTAAAATTAAGTTCCTCTTTATATTACCTTAGTGGTTCAGAGAAGTGAGCACTATTCACAGTTTAACTATTTCTCTTTTTCTTTTCATTCCTTTTCCATATCTCTTGTATTTCATCCAACACCAAAAATGCCCTTTCAGAAACACAAAGTAGATCTTTTCTACAAACTACGCCATGTGATGAATGAACTTATTGACCTGCGAAGGCAGCTACTGTCTGGTCACCTGACTCAGGATCAGGTGCGGGAGGTTAAGCGGCACATCACCGTGCGCCTGGACTGGGGTAATGAGTAAGTATGAAAATTGTTTGGGTATCTCTAAGTTTCACTTGTGGTAACTCACTCTTCAGGGAGTTTGCACCTATACAAAGCTTCTCTTTAATGATTTGAAGACGATGTTACATTATTCACTAAGCTTTTATCATTTTTGGTAGGAACAGTTGTTTGTCCTAGTTAGCAAAGGGTACTCACTGGTTCTAGTTGCTGAACCTCTTTCAGCCTCTGTTTTTGCTTCTGGAAAGAAGAGGTAAATAATACGACTAGATTATCCTATAAAGTTAAATTTCTTTGACCTCAGATTTCTTGATTCTATACCTCCTAATCAGAATACACTTAAAAAAATTTTTAGTGCTTTCTTCAAATGTGAATTTGGTGTCCTTTACATTTTATAGCCATACAATGAATCTGAATGAGCATAACCTACAAATGGAAACTGTCTACATTTGTACTTCAGAATATTTTTAACTACCTTGTCATTCAGTAATAGTCTTGCATATATGAAATGACTATGATTTGCTATTGCCATCCAAGTACAATTTGAAGACTTTGGTATGGGAAGTTAGGGTATAATTTTCAATTGATATAATTGATATATCCATAATTGATATAATTTTATAATTGATATAAATGTCAGGTGCTTTTGTCTCATTCTCTTAAAATTGGGTCCACTGAACTTTTAAGTGACCAGGTTACCTCTACTTAAAATATGCATTGCCTTAAGTATATTTAAACGTGTGTCTTTAGCTCCTTATCCTTTTTGGGAGGGGTCCACCAATAAATGAGATCTATGAGCCCATTTCTGGAAGCCGGAAAGTAGATGAAAGATTAATGACAGAGTAAGTCCATTATATGTGGAGGAAACCTTAGTTAATGAGAGAGTCAGTCTGCCTCACAGCTTCCAGAATCATGGAAGGTGGGATAGGCCTTGAAGTTTTGTAAAGGGTTTGGCTTAAAAGAGTGTCTAGGGAACAGTCTACCCCAATCAATGAGCAGAAAGCCTGGCCAGGTATTTCCTCTTGGAAAACTGGGCAACAGGGGTGTGAACTGGGACTTTGCAAAACCCTCCACATTCTGGCATTTAAGGACTTTAAAGTATAATGAGCAGATTGCTCCCATTTAGCAGAAAGGGAAACTTGCCAGTCACCTACCCATGTACAAAAAACTCTGCATTTCTTCTGCTGTCTTTTAAGTTTGAATGGACAATCAAGTATCACCAGATGTTTGAAGAAACGCTTCTACAGGAAAGAGAGAGAGAAGATTAACAAAACACCTGTGCCCAAAGAAAGTAAACTGTCCCCAGAGCAAATTGAGATTGATAAAGTACTTTAAAATAAAACAAAACAAAAACACTTTAATATCCTCAAATAGAATCTAGAAGATCTATTATGTAGAATAAGATGCCATGTAAAAGAAATGGAGAATGTAATTTCCAAAATAAAATACTCAGAGAAGATAAATTTTATGTAATCTCTAGGAAAATAAAACAAATATATAGGCAATACATGAGGAAAGAAGTTCAATACAAAGGCTCTACCCAGGGAGGTCCAATATCAAACATTTTGCCTTCCAGAAAAAGAACAGAGGAAATTCTAAAGGAATAATAGAGAATTTGTCAGAGCCAAAAAAAACCAGGAATCTTAAGATTGAAAGGACCCCACCAGATGCTTATAATAAATGGGAAAACAAAACAAACAAAAAAAACTCACAGCGAGGCACATTAAGATACCTTAGTATTCTAGGAATGAAGAGAAGACTATTTCAGGGTTTTAAAGAGAAAAATAGTTCCTCTCACAAAAGTGTAAGAATCATACTCTCCTCAAAAGTTTTATCATTAACTGGGTGCTAGAAGATAATGAAATAATATCTTCAGAGTTCTGTAGGGAAATGATTTGCCAGCCAGAGTTTTATTTTAAAAAACCCAACCATCTAATTAAGTGAGAGGGAACACAAAGCCATAAAGCCATTTTTAGATATTCAGGAATGCACAAAAGTTACCTCTCATGACCCCTTCTTAAGAAGGGACTTGAGGATGTGCTCCTGCAAAGTAGAATAAATCAGGAAAGAGGAGACATGGAATCTAATAAACAGTGGATCACACCCAAATTCTTACTGTTCGTCAGTAGAAAAGAGAAAATGTAACACTAAATTGGTTATTTGTGACCTTTTTGAAGCCACAACATTCTATCCTTGTTTGTTTTGTTTAATTACACCCTCTCATGACTGTTAGTAGGATTGCTTGGCATCTACCACAGACTACCTTCTATAATAGTATATAACATGAATTTAGGTGTACCATAGATCAGTGTTCTCTAAATCTAACTTTGGGGGATAAAAATTTAGTAAAATACAGTATGTTGATGTGCAGCATAGCTACTGATTCTGCCTCTTCAAATGCAAACATTTTTATGTTATAAAATTATGTCACTGTTTTTATTTTTAAGTCAATGATAAGAATACAGAAATTGCAAATACAACATTACTGTGTGGCAAGCAAATTGGTCACACTTGAATTGATGACACTAATAAATGTGTAATTCATTATGTTGCAGTTTAACTGCCACTATAGATTCCAGTAAATAGAATTATTTCAGAACTATGAGTACCTATACCTCTTTATTATGAAACTTGAAAAACAAACCAATCTGATTTTGCAATCAAATCTGAAAATATATAGATGATAGCTTAGAAACAAGTTCAAATTGTACTGGAAAAAGGCTCAGAACATTATAAATACCTCCCAGTAAATTACAGGGCTATTCCAATTTCATGACTAACTTTTTCTCAATGAAATTGTGTGTGTGTGTGTGTGTGTGTGTGTGTGTGTGTGTGTGTGTGTCTGTGTCTGTGTCTGTGTCTGTGAGTTGGAGGGGTATGTATATGCATATTTTAATAAGCGAAGGTAAAAAACACAGTTCCATTCCCCTCCCTACTTTTCTTCTCCCTCTTTCCTATTTCTCCTTTTCTCCCTTCCCTACTTTCCGTCTTCTTTCTTTTTTTCCCCTTTCTTCCTCCCCTTGCACTTCTTTCCCTCTACCCCTGTCTTCCTTTTTTTTTCTTGTTTCCTCCTTTCCTTCAGTGGAAAATATAGTCACTTAAAAACCTAAATAAGAACTTTGCAGGAGTGTCATTATTGAAAGGACAAAACATGTCGCACCAAAACTGATAGGACTCTTCTTTCTGGTTTCTCCTTGAGCTTACTTTTTAAACATTTTTCTTCCTATTTTGAAAGAAAAGATGGCATATTGTAAAAACAAAGTCATTTTATACCATTAGGTTATGTAAAATAGACTGTTCCACACAAAAGCTGAGAACAGATGACTATAACCTTTGTTCCCATTTTATTCTGATAGTTCCACACTTCTTGTTCCACCACACTTTTATAAATGCCATAAAACCTTGAAGTTTAGCACATTAACATGTTGAGTCAGTGTTTGCCAAATGTATTTTAATGTTTTAATTGATGTAATTAAATATATGATTTTAAACTCGTATGTCTTTAAGCTCTTACACAGACATTATAGCTCTGCCTTTTCAGAATCTATTTCACAACTACTATTTGTTATTAGTAGTGTATTGATTAAATATGTCTACATCACTGTGGCAAGTACATGGTCTCACTTCATGCACTGTTACAATGAAATGCTACTATGCCTTGGCTGGGCGTGGTGGCTCACACCTGTAATCCCAGCACTTTGGGAGGCCAAGTTCAGGAGATGGAGACCACCTTGGCTAACACGGTGAAACCCCGTCTCTACTAAAAATACAAAATATTGGCCGGCCATGATGGTGGGCACCTGTAGTCCCAGCTACTCAGGAGGCTGAGGCAGGAGAATGGCATGAATCCAGGAGGCGGAGGTTGCAGTGAGCTGAGATCATGCCACTGCACTCCATCCTGGGCCAGTATTTTTAGTCGTTAGGCTATTTGATCTTTGTTCTGTTCTGCAAGTGTGAATACTGTTATATCCTGTGATGTATATCTGAGTAACATTCAGTTAGAACTTCCAAGGATAGAAACTGACCTGGTCCTGTAATCTTTCATTTAGAGTTTTAATTTAGTGAGGAACTCTCCACATCTAGATAACAATTTTTTATTTTGTTTCCTGAGATTAGGAATTATTTATTTGCCCTAAAATTTGAATATTCAGACATTAAACTTATGTGACTTAAACTTATTGGCCTATATGTAGATACTTCATAACTAAAAATTATGAAATTGTATCAAATAGAAACCAGCACTTACTACATTGTGCTCTTATATTTTTAGGAACTGCAATACTAGAAGGGCATAAAGCTGTGTTCAAATTAGTCATCATCTTTGCTCAAGTGTCTTACATAGAGAATTAGTTAATTAGATCCACTCCAAATAAATTTTAAAATAATTTGTCTAGTGATGTAATTTTAACTTAATATTTTCAACATCTTCTCTAAAGATGCTAAGTTTCTTGTGTCTCTGATTTCATCATTACAGTAGCTAGCTAAGTTAAAATTGCATTAACCCAGAACTGACATAGCCTAATTGATCTCTGTCTTAGAAAAATACCTAAGAAATATTTTATTCTTCGAATAATAATTTAACACAAATCACTTATATACATATATATGTATTTATATATGTATATATATATAAACTTCTGGTTCTTTTATTCTCTCTTTCTCCCGCTCTGTCATTTTTTCTTCCTCCTCCCCTTTTCTACTTTCTCATATTTTTACATATTCTAACCCATCTCTATCTCTTTCTTCCCACTTAGTATATGTCTCTCATCAAGGGAATTGCTTTTGGAGTAAGATATACAAACAGTAGTTTAGTTTGTTATATGCAGAAAATATCCCCCAGTGAGTTTCCTCTAAGTAGATTTTTAGCCAGGATCCAGAAAGGTTTGTGGCTTAGTACTTTACCCTTAAGGATATACTGATATTTTCCAACTTTGGGACACCTGAAATTAGCAGAAATTTTCAATGATTTCGCAGTTATGGTTCTTCCCATACCTGGTGGTGTGCTCACTGATCAGTGT